TGAAATGAAGTAAGCTTCTGTCCTGACAGTACTACGTGCTAAAAGGGTAACTTTTTGGAAAAAAAAGCAGAATTTTTTTCAAATTTCGGGCGAGTAAGAAGTGCGTAAACTTCACATGTATGAACGGAAGAGCACACTTTGAAAAATCTGCCAGAAATAGTCTTTTTGTTTTCGCACACTTCCTATTGTTTGCAAAAGTTTGGTTGGTTTCAGGAAGCACACAGATCGCAAGGATGACATCCCCAATTGCCCATCAATTGATGAAATAGTTAATATGCCAACCCCTACCGTTACGGCGTAAGTTAATGTGATTTGCTTTTTGTGGGAATTTTTAGCTGCTTTCACGGCTATGCATCGCTTCGTCAGTTTGTGGTGCATTAGCTGCAGTGTTATCTTTGCGCTGTATTTCGTTCGGTTTTGTAATTGATGGATCACAAAACTGAGGAAAACTTCCATATTCTTTAATTTGCTTGAACAGCGCAAGTCAGCTTGGGCTACTTTTATTTATCTGTGCTACTCAGAAACAGTAAATACGAAGGAGTATTTGACTTCCCTGAACAGAAGGCATACCTGATGTACTGCTAAGGCATAGACCTGGACAGCTTTCTTTTTGCTTCTCAGTAAATCAGCAAAAGAGCTCTCCTCCAGTTACGAAAGCTAAAATTTCATGAGCGAACTACCAAACGTAACAGTCTCTCCATTCCTTTTCTTGCAGCTTACTTTATCCTTATCAGGGGCAGTCATCGCTTTGTGCCAGTAACCTGTTGAGGAATAGAGAAGTTGATTTACTTTAGGCCATGCCAACTTTTCCTTTTTTTGACTTTTTTTCGCGGAAGACGAGAAGGATTTGGCCTCAGGACTTGACTTGACACAAAAGCAATTCCGACCTTCATTTGCAGCACGGCATTCCAACCACTACGTAGCATGGCATTCCAACCTTCATTCGCAGCTGCGCTTAATGTCATCTTCCGGTGAACAGGCTAAGAAAAAAAAAACTCATTATGAGCTGGAAGGAAATGCGCAATGATTTGTCTCATTTAGTCCCTACAAATACGAAAAGCTGGTCGTAAGAACGCATTAACTCACCGTCCTTCGGTGTACGACGTTGTTCAACGTAGCACAACAAAATTACGACATAATTGTAGAAATCATCAAGAGTTTTTTTTCTTGCAAATCCAACTAATATATTCAGGAAATCTGAGGTGTCTCCGAAAACGTCGATTCCACCAACGACTGCAAGTGTTGTGACTGCAACTCCACCCAGCAGTGACAAAACTGCTATCGAGACGGACAAAATGAGCAGTAAAATTCTGCATTACTTTTTTCTTTTTGTTAAGGAGGACACATCCTCGATTTAAAAAAAGCCTCTTGCATCGTCAAAATTGCTAAGACTGTTGATACGAGATTTTTCGGTGTCATCCTAAATGACAAAGGACCACTCGCTTAACAGTGTCCAGGATTTTAAAACCGTTGCATTGGTTATGTGCAGATGCGGTAGCCTTCGTTCTTCCAGTAGCTATAGCATTTCGCTAATTGTATCTCGGGGACCACGGAATCTAAGGGGCTGAAATTTTAAGACAATGACCTCCTGCCCATGTACGAACTTGCAACTTCAAATGCCGTGTTCTCGCGCTGTCGGGTATCAGCTACGGCCACGTGAAAATTTTTGCGGGGATTTATTGTCTCAGGAACCATAAAAGACAAGAGAGTGCGGTTTTGCGGTAGTGCTGATGCGTGAGATTTCAAATTTTTAACTATTTTCGACTTTTCAACTATTTTTGCACAGACTAAGGTACAAAGCGGTGAAAATCGTTAACAACCAATCGTTCGGTGAATGATGTGCACAAAACGCATGATCGCACCAGCTAGTCTGGTGCGCGTTGCTATTTATTTATCTC